CTGGAATCCTGATCCCAGCAGGATTTGGGGTCCTGGAGCTCCGATCCCACCAGGATTCCTTCCCAAAGATCCCCAAACCCCAGCTGGAGCTCCCGACCCGTCTCATCCCGGATTTATGGCTTTGTGGGAATCCGAGCTGCCATAAAAAGCAGTTCCCTGTTTTCCTGGCCCCGCCATCCTTTATCCGCTGTCACTTCCCAGCGCTCCCAGAGGCGGATGCGGCCGGAGCGATCGATGTTTTCTTTTATCTCCCTTTTTTTCCCAATAATTTTTTTAATCATTTCTCCCGCGGATAAATAATTCCCGGGAAAGCCGCGCTCAGCACTTTTGGAGAGGGGGGGGAAAAGTGATGAGGTCAGGAGAGGGAAAGGGAGGGAGCGGGGCTGGAGCTTCCCACGGAATTCCCAGTGGGAATGGGGCTCGGAGCTGGCACCCCAAAACTGGGAAAAGGGGTTTGGGGGCACTGGGGTGGGATGAGATGGGATGGGATCAATGGGATGGGATGGGAAAAGGGACAGGGATGGGGACAAGGACAAGGATAAGGACCTGGCAACCCCCATCTGCTTCCCTTGGAATTCCCAGCGGGAATGGGGCTCGGAGCTGCCACCCTGAAACGGGAAAAGGGGTTTGGGGGGACTGGGATGGGATAGGGAAAGGGACAGGGACAGGAAAAGGGACTGGGATGGGATGGGATGGGATGGGATGGGATGGGATGGGATGGGATGGGAAAAGGGACAGGAACAGGAAAAGGGACAGGGATGGGGACAGGGACCTGCCAACCTCTTGTCTTCTTCCCTTGGAATTCCCAGCGGGAATGGGGACACGGAGTTGACAACCTAAAACTGGGGAAAAGCGGGGGTCTGGGATCTGCACAGCCCCTTTTTGGGATGGGAAATTTGGGATTTGAGATCCCAGCTGGCATTCCCAGCCCCTTTTTGGGGTGGGAAATTTGGGATTTGGGATCCCAGCCCCCCTCTGCCTCTCCCGCTCCTGCTCCCAGCTCCAATCCTGAGCTTCTGCTGCTTCCTTGTGGCAAAATCTTGGAATGACACGGCCTTTCCCTGAATTCCTGCCCCGGGACGCGACCCCAAACCCCGGGAGAATCCCTTGGGAGCAGCTCCAGGGTTGGGATCTCGCGGCCTTGGAATCCCGGGAGGGAAATCCTTCAGCCGCCTCCTCCCTGCGCTGACCTTTGCCGGCTCCTGGAGAATTCCAAGTGGGAATTCTGCTGGCCAGCCTTGCCGGAGGCCGTAAATATTCCCGGGAGGTGATGGAGGTGCTTGATTTTCTTGGGATACGTTTTTGAAGAGCCGGGATGTAACCCCGGAGTCCCGGTGGCAATTCCCGGGATATTTATGGCAGGAAGGTCCTTTCATTCCCTTCCTTTTATTCCTGAATTTCAGCGCTGCTGCTGCTCGGGATTAAACGTGGAATTCCCGCTCTGTGACACCCTCAGCTCCCCAAAATTTGGGATTTTCCCTGGGGTCACTGCCCCCGTTGGGAATAAGGAAAAGGGGTGGTTGGGCTGGGATTTGGGATTTGAGATTTGGGATTTGATATTTGGAATTTGGGATTTGTTCCCATGGCTCAGCATCCCAAATCCTGTTTATCCATGGCCAGGGGAGCTTCATCCCTCTGGGATTGATCCATGGGCAGCTCCTGACCTGGAGAGAAAAGAGGGATGGGATGGATGAGGGCTGTGACCAGAGGAAAATGGGAAAACTCTGGAAAACCGGGAATGAGCGGCTCCAGTTTGATCTCCAGGTGCCCCGGATCATCTTTTCCATGGGGAGATTAGGAATAAATCCCGGCAGGAATGGGGCTCATCCCTCCCATTCCCTCTCTCCCTCCTTCGGTGGCTCCTTTTGGGACCGTGGGGTCCTTGGAAGGGCTCAGGACCCTCTGGAAAACCGGGAATGAGCGGGAAGAGTGGGACCAGTTTGATCTCCAGGTGTCCCACATCAGCTTTTCCAAGGGGGAATTAGGGAACAAATCCCGGCAGGAATTGAGGTCACTCCCCCCTCCCTCCTCCTTTGGGGCCGAGAGTTCCTTGGAGGGGCTTGGGACCCTCTGGAAAACCGGGAATGCCGGGGAAAAGCAGCACCGGGCCTTTGATCTCCAGCTGCCCCATATCAGCTTTTCCAAGGGGAAATTAGGGAACGAATTCCAGCGGGAATGGGGGCGGGGGTCTCCCTCCCTCCGGAGCCGCGGGGTGAAAGCTGAAAGTTGAAGAGTCCAACGCCGTCAATCCCGACTTTCAGCCGGCGCTGGGAAAGGGAAATATTTGGATAAGGCGCGATCCGGAGCTGCCGCTGTTTACAAATCCCGATCCCACATCAAACGCGGCTCCCTTTGGGAAGCGCTTCCCGCTCTCCCGGCTCCTTTTGGGAGCTGTCACGGGAATTATTTGATGTTTCCCTCTCTCCTTTGTTTGTTTACGTTCATTAACGTCGGGAAAATCCATCAAACCCTCGGCTCCGCTCATCCCGGAGCGCGCGCGGCCGCAGGTGCGGAGCGGCCGGGAATGATGGAGGATCCATTTATCCCGCGGGCCGTGGGGAGGGAATGACACATTCCCGATAAATCCAGCCCCGATCCCGCCCTTCTGCCTCGCCCCGGCCCTGATGGATGAGTTCCTTATCGGGAACGCCGAAACGCCGCGCTCGAGCTGCGGCCGCGCTTCCCAGCGGGATGCGGGGGCTGATCCCGGCGTTCCGCGGCTTCCCGGGATGAGCCGGGATTTATGGAAGCTGTTCCCAAGCGTCGGCTCGGCTAGAATCCCAAAAAGTGCTGGATACCCCCTGGATTTGCCCCGCTGTGGGAGTTATCCCGTTTCTTGCCTCTGGAATTCCCAAGTTTGTTGCCTCCGGAGTTCCCGAGTTTTCCTGTAATTCCAAACTTTGTCCCAAGTTTGCTGCCTGTGGAATTCCCAAGTTTACTGCCTTAGGAATGAGACGTCCAAGGCTATTCCCAGAAAATAGAGCTTCCGAGGCCATTCCCGGGAAAACGAGGCTTCCAAGGCCTCACCATTCCTAGGAAAACGAGGCCTCCAAGGCCATTCCCAGAAAACGAGGCCTCCAAGGCCATTCCCGGGAAAACGAGGCCTCCAAGGCCATTCCCGGGAAAATGAGGCCGTCGGGCTAACGAGGAATGGTCGGAGCACACCTGAACGCTCCGGTGGAGCCGGAGCACAAGTCGGGATTTACGGAGTCCCCGCGCGGACAGGAAAGGACGGGAAGTTTATCATGGATTAGGGAATTAATGGGGATGAATTCCCACCCGCTGATGGATGGGATGGACGCTCCATTAGGGAATGATTTAGGATTTTCCGGCTCATTGTGGATCAGGCAGGGCTCGGCCGGGGTCGGAATGTTGGGATGGGGGAAGAATTGGGGAACAGGGAAGGAATTCCAGGGATTTTCAAGTCATGGGTCCGTATTTTTATATTATTTTTCTATTCTAATAATATTTTCATATATTTTTCTGTTTTTCTATTTTCATTTCCGTGTTTTTAATTTTTATGTGGATTTATTAGGGGATCATTTGGGCGGGAAGGGATCCTAAAGCTCATCCAGGGTCACCTCCCACGATCCCAGGATTCCCAGGTTTTTGGGATCAGCTGGGAACGGCAGAGCCATTCCAGGCTTTGGGATGAGATTCCACGGGCAGATCCACAGTGGGAATTGGATTTTCCATGGGAATTGCGTTTTCCATGTCCAAAACCCAACCAGATTCCAGGGAAAAGGGGCAGCTCCAGCCTCATCCCGCTGAATCCTGGAATTCCAAGACCCTGTTTCCTGCTCCCAGTCCTGGGAATATCAGCGGGATCAGGATAAACCGAACTTCCCCAAAGAAAGGAGCTGGAAACCTTGGAATGTGGGATTGGGAATGGCGAATTCCAAGGTTTTCCTTTGCTTTGCTCCCCGCAGGCCTGGAGGAGATCCCACGGCCCATCCAGGATCCCGGGAATATTTTGAAGCAAGGATACCTGGAGAAGAGATCCCGAGGTAAAACCTGGAATTCCAGGAGAAGATCTGAAATCCCAAATTTCCAGCCTAAAATAAAAACCAGGAAAAGGCAGGAAATCCATGGATTTCCACTGGCAGGAGTTTCCAGGTTTTTCCAACGCCTTGTCGGGCTCATTCCCTTTTCCAGAGCATCCAAATTAAATCCTGGAATTAAATTAAGCCCAGCCCAGGCCTGGAGGGCAAAACTAATGAGGAGAAAAAGCCGGGAAAAGCTCCAGGGATTCGGGATCATCCCACGTTTAATGCGGAGATAAGAGCCGGGCTCGGAATCAGCCTGGGCCTTATCTCCCTTTTCCCGTGAAAGCCACAAATTATTCCCTTCCCTAATGGGATTTTCTCGGGAATTATTGATGGGAAGAGGCAGGAGAGCTCCTGGTTTTTCCCTGAGCTCAGCTCGGAGTTAGGCCTGGCTTAACTCCGCTCATCTCCGCTTTAACGACATTTCCCAGAGATTTAACCCCAAATGCCTTCCCCGGCCCCACGGAATCCATGGAAAGGCATCCCCAGGGAATAAAATGGAGGATTTTCCCTGCTTTTCCCGATTTTCCTGGCTTTTCCAGGTTTTTTCCCCATTTTTTCCCATTTTTCCCTGTTTTCCAGAGCCCAGCTTTTTCGGCTCCGAGTGGCACAAGCGCTGGTGCGTCCTCACCCAACGGAATTTCCTCTACTACGCCAACGAGAAAAGTGAGTGGGAAAAGAATTCCCAACTTTTGGGTGGAAAACAGGGATGTGACCATGGAAAACCACAATTCCCAGCTCCTGGAAGGGAAAATCCCAGCTGGATTTGGGTTTATTTTTCCATTGGAGCAAAGGGAATTTTCTGGCCATTCCTCTTTCCCAGAATTTCCCTTCCCTGGAATTTTGCAGCCATTCCCCTTTCCCTGGATTTTCCCACTATTTTCCTATCCCAGATTTTTCCTGGCCATTTCCCCTTTCCCAAATTTTCCATCCGTTTCGTTCTCCCGGAATTTTCCAGACATTCCCCTTTCCTGGAATTTTCCAGCCATGTGCCTCAGTTTCCCTCCATGGATAAACCCCCCTGAGCCACATCCAGAGGTGGGAAAAAAGCTGGAAAATCCCAAATTTTGCCCAATTCCCTTTTCCCAGGCAAGCAGCCCAAAGGCTCCTTTCCCATCGAGCGCTACCAGGCCCACCTGGATTCCCAGCTCCGGAAAGATTCCCGGAAAAATTGCTGCTTCCAGCTGCTCTGTCCCGGAAAACGCTCCTACGAGGTGGAAAACGGCAGGAAAAGGGGAATTCTGGGGGGGGAAATGGGAATTTCAAGGCAAAAAATGGGAATTTTGGGGGGGAAAGGGGAATTTTGAGGGGGAAATGGGAATTTGGGGGGAGAAATTGGAATTTTGGAGGTAACATGGGAATTTTGGGGGGAAAAATGGGAGATTCAGAGGAAAAAATGGGAATTTTTTTGTGGAAATGGGTATTGGGGGGTGGGGTGGGGAAGGAAATGGATTTCCATGAAAAATGGGAATTTTTTTGTGGAAATGGGTATTGGGGGGTGGGGTGGGGAAGGAAATGGATTTCCATGGATTTCCATGGATTAGATCTGACAGCCTTGCTAGGGTTTCCATTGATTTTCGTGGATTTTCATGGAATTCTACGGACTTCAATGGATTATCATGGGCTTCCATGGATTTCCCTGGGCCTCCATGGGTTTCCATGGGTTTTCATGGAATTCCATGGGTTTCCATGGATTCGTTTTTCCAGCTTTCCCAGGATATTCTGGCTGTGCTCCTCTCCCATTGCAGCTGGGAGAGAAATCCCGGGAATGGCTTTTCCCGGTGCCCTGGGGTTGGGAATGGAGGATCCCTGTCCCCTCATCCCAAATCCCAAATCCCAAATCCCAAATCCCGGGATAACGGATTCTCCCGGCAGTTCACAGCTCCGAGCCCGGCCGAGGCCCAGGATTGGGTGGAGCAGATCCAGTTCCTCCTCAAGGGTGAGTCCGGAGCAGCTCCCGTTTTTTGGGATCTTTGGGAAGCGTTTTCCCACCTGGATCGGGACTTTCCATCCATCCGCACCTGGATTTGTGGGGACTTGCTCCAGCTGGAGGCTGAGAAAATTCCATAAATTCTCTGGAATCCCCAGGCGGCTTCCCAGCCTCCGTCCCTCCAGGCCCACGTGGAATTTGGGGTCATTTCCTGGGATTTTCCATCTTTCCTTGGGTTTTTTCCATCTTTCCTTGGGTTTTTCCTTGGGTTCTTGCTCATTCTCGGCCGCAGGATTTGGATCTCCATCCCACCCTCTGGAATGGGGAGAATTCCCACTTTTCCATCCCTTTTTCCCTCTTTCCTGGCAGACCTGAGCTCCCTGACCATTCCCTGCGATGAGGAGGAGGAGGAGGAGGAGGAGGAGGAGGAAGAGCTCTCCAAGGACCAGGACAGCTCCGATTCCATGAACAATTCCCAAATTTCCACCCTGAATCCGGAGGATCCGGAGCTGGAAGGCGACGACATCTACGAGGTGCTGCCAGGTGAGCTCCCAAATTCCCAATTTTTCCTTGGAAAAATGCGAGGAAACCGCGGCCATTCCCACATCTCTGCTTTCAACCCACCCAAAATTCCAAGGTTTTATCCCGTTTCTTTATTCCGAGCTTTTGATGGACCTCCCAAACCCAAACCTTGTTTTTCTGGGAATTTTGGATCCAGGGATCCTGCTGGAGTAGCCCTCAGAGTTTTCATGGATTTTCGTGGACTTTTCAAGGATTTTCCTGGACTTTTCAAGGATTTTCATGGATTTTCACCGTGTTTCATAGATATTCATGGATTTTCCTGGTTTTCCACAGATTTCCATGCATTTCCATGGGTTTCCATGGATTCCCACAGATTTCGATGTGTTTCCATGTATTTCCATAGGTTTTCACAGATTTCCATAGGTTTTCATGAATTTCCATGGATTAGGTTTTCCAGCTTTCCTGAAATAGCCTGGCAAGGAAAAATCCATGGATTTCCATAGACTTCCCTGCATTTCCATGGATTTCCATGGACTTCCATGCATTTCCATATATTTTAATGGTTTTCCATGTTTTTCCATGGACTTCCATGTTTTTCCATGGACTTCCATGGATTTCCATGGTTTTCCATGCATTTCCATGGATTTCCATGGATTAGGCTTCCCAGCTCTCTGGGATAACCCAACTCACGGATTTTCCTTCATCCCAAACCCTCAAATTCCCCAGGAAAATCCCCAATCCCATCCTCCCTTCTCCCTCCTTTACCTCCCGACCAAAAACCATGGAAAAAAACCCGGGAGACGGGAATAAAAAAAACCCAAAAAAACGGGAAAATCCGCGGAGAGATAATTTCCTCGGCGTTAATGAAGTTTTACAAAAACAGACGCGGCCGAGGCCAAATAAAATTTCACAGGTGATAAATTTTTCCAATTTCCCGGGAAGGATTCGATGGGAATGTTAAATCAGGAGTGAAGGTGTCCGCTCGGAAGCGCCGAGCGCTGCCGGGGAATTTTATCGACTGGAAAATTGAATCAAATTGCTCCATTAAAAACTCGGCTCCGCAGAGATTCCGAAGCTTCCCGGGATGCGCCGGCGGCTCCGGACCCCCGGGATGAGGATCCCAAAAGTGGGGTGGGAGGGAGAAGTGGAATTTTCCAAAGTTTTCCAGCTTTTTTTCCTTTGATTCAGTGCTGGAGAATCCAAGTGTTGGGTGGGATTGGGAAGGCAGAGCTTCGCTTCCAGGCCGGATCCCAGGAAACCCCTTGGATCTATCAGACTTAATTCCAGGAAAACCTCTGGATATTGGAGAGGGGCTCGTCCTGTCCCCATGGATCCCATTCCTGGATTTTCCAGTATTTTCCTTGGATTCGCCACTGGAAAATCCAAATATTGGCTGGGACTGGGAAGGCCGAGTTTCACTTCCAGGCCGAGTTTCAATTCCAGGAAAACCCCTGGATCCATCGGGTTGGATTCCAGGAAAACCCCTGGATCCATCGGGTTGGATTCCAGGAAAACCCCTGGATCCATCGGGTTGGATTCCAGGAAAACCCCCGGATGGTGGGGAGGGGCTGCTCCTGTCCCCATGGATCCCATTCCCGGATTTCCCAGCTCCAAATCCTCTGGGAAAGTGCCTGGGAATGGGACAGGGAGCGGGCAGGGGTGTCCGTGGGATGGGAAGGGATTTTCCCTGGATGGGAATGGTTTTTCCATGGATGAGGACGGAAATTTGGGATGCTCCTCGCAGCTCCATTCCGTTCCCGCTTTTCCAAGCCTTCCCAGCCCCTCTGGAATCCGCCTTTTCCCTGGGATCATTCCTTCCATCCCTTCCTCCTCCTCTTCCCGAGTTTTCTCCTTAATTCCTCCTTCCTTCCTCACATTCCCAGCCTGGAATTTTCCCTCTGGAATCTCCTAAGGGGGCACCCAGAATTCATGGATTTGTTTTTCCCGGTGCCCACAACAATTCCGGTTTTCCATGAAAATCCCCTCCGATACTTCCTCCCCCCACAATCAATCCGGGAATTTTTAATTCCCAGGATTCTCTCGGAGCTCTGGGCCTGCGGGAGCTGCGACATTCCCAGATTTCCCCTGATTTTTCCGCCGTTTTTCCCGGATTTTTCCCACTGTTTTTTGCCTCCCCAGATGAGGAGCTGGAGCCGCCATTCCCGGAGGATGAGGAGGATTTCGGGAGCGAGGCGGGTAAGATCCCAATCCAAAGGATTCCCAGGATACGGATGGGGGAATATTTTGGGATTTTGGCCACTTTGGAGCAGCCTGGGCTGTGGAAAATGTGGAGAGAATTCCTGGGATTTGACTCTTCCCAGTGGTGGAATTCCACTTGGGAAGACTCTTCCCAATGGGATAAGGAGACATCTCCCAGAATTCCTGGGATAAAGGAGCTGTTTGGGAATTTTTAAATGGATTTTTATCCCTAAAAGGCCGGGGAGGGAACCCGCAGGAATTTTGGGATCCACCCCCCAGGATCCCACTGGACATTCCCGGGATGCCTCCCACTCCCTCCTGTCCTTCTGGGAAGCAGGAAAGGAGCCGGGATGAGAATTCCTGGGAAAGGAATTCCTGGAAAACTGGGACCAAACTCTTGGGGGAGCACCAATCCCTCGGCCGGCGAGTCCGTGATGGAATTCCATGGAATTCCCGGCATTCCCAGCCTCAGCATTCAACATTCCCGATGGATTTGGAGCATTTCCCATCCCGGAGAAACTCCAGGAGAACTTTCGGCTCTGGAATCGCCTCCAGGAAGATTTTCCCATTTCCCTGATTTCCTATCATTCCCTTTTTCCATGATTTTCTGTCATTCCCTTGGCCATCGCGGTGTCCCATGGAATTCCCGGCTTTCCCATTCCCAATTTTCAACATTCCCAATGGATTTGGAGCCTTTCCCATCCCGGAGAAACTCCAGGAGAACTTTCAGCTCCGGAATCACCTCCGTGATCCCGCACCTATAAATCCCTCACCACCCTGAGCCTTTTTTTCCCTTTTTCCCAGAAAATTCCGACTGGGATTACTCCAGTTATTACCAGGGATTGTGGGATTGCCGCGGGGACAATCCC